GACGCGCCGGGTAGGCTGGAGTTGGCAGAGCGGCAGCCCAACCTGAACGCTCAAAGCTCGGCGTTTCATTCTATAGAACTGCCGAAAATTTAAAATGACAATAAATTACGTACTTTTACTTGCTCGTTAGAAGGATACATTTCTTTTATAAATTCCACAAGATTTACAATATTTGAATTTACTGCCAAATTTGCATATCTTTGATATGTACCGGATGTAACTGTGAATACGCAGCAGTGTTGTGGGACTGCATACTCAATATGGCCAGGGGCCATGGCCCCTTAGGGGTATAAAGAGTGGGCAAACCCACAACACTGCTGCGTATTCACAGTGTTACACCCGGGATAAAAATGAATCGAAATCAACAGATAGCGCTTGATTTAAGAGGGAAACTAGAGGAACTGGTGGAAATAAGTCGAAATAAGCGTTGTCTACCACTAAAAAAACCCTTCGGAATGAATCTAAGCGGACGAGAATCATTGGGAATCAGGAATTTCAGGAATCATGTGTACACTTCAAAAGGGAGTTATTGCTCCCTCGGATCAAACGAAGCCACATGTAATAGGGTTCGGAGCTCAAATAACACTGAAACGAACATTAAACTTGCAAGTTCTTAGAAAAATAAGGGTCGGAACTCAATCACATAGAAGCTTCATCAGAAATTTTACGGTGAAACAAATGGTGCCATCGAGAATTTGAGAGTTCGTTTAGATAATACACCACAAAAACTGATTACCTGCGGCCCCATAATCTGTTGATGGAAAAGTGTAATTACCTTGGGACAATGTTTTAATTTTACTTTTTACTTTCCCTCACCACTAAATTGTTTGAATGTGGCCGTTCTATGAACAACATTGTCCCTTTGTGCAGTGTTTGCCTCTGGCTCACCCTGTGTCGTTGTCGGACCCATCGCTCTCCCGCGACGCTGAAGTGGCGGCGGTGTAGAGGGAATGCTGCTCTACTGTGGCTCGTAAGTCGCCGCCATGACCTTCTCTGCCGCACTGATCGGGGCCCTGCCGGAGCAACCGCCGTCGGGGCCAAAGACGGTTTGTTTGCCGGCGGTATAGTGCCATGGGCGGGTATTCTATGGGCGACCTGCAAATTCGATTTCCAGCAGTGACGCTGCACCTCTGCCAGTCAGCACCAGCCACAGCCCCGGCCATACTGTGCGTATATGGGATGGGGGTGGGAGAGGGGTTTACTCAGTTCCTATGTGAGAAGTGTCGACGGCTTCGACGCGCAAGGCAAACAAATGATGTGTTTTAATACGGGTAACGCATGTTTCTAGACATGCGATGCGGCGATGCGGTGTTGCGGGGTTGCCCACTTCCCGCCCCAAAGGCGGTCCAGAAAGTACGTCCTTTCCGCTCAGATTAATTCGGAAAATAGTGGAGGATAGCGCCTACGAGACTCGGGGTAGGCCGCTCTGCAGTACATGGATGCACAGCACGCAAGATGTTGCCTACCTACCAGGCGCCATGAGAGCTTGGCGCTGCTGGATGACTTGACTAACCGCGAGGCCTCCGCCGCCAAGTCGCCAAGGACAAAGACTGTAGAATCCGAATACTCGCGCTAGGCGGGCAGAGGCCGCCCCGCCCCGCAATCAAGGAGTCTGGCTAAGATGGGAGACGCGACGGGCGGGCGGGTGAAAAGGTGTCGTTTTGAACGGTTAGCTACTATTGCATCGAACAAGGAGGGCTAAGGGCTAACTGAAACGCCTATTGATGCCCAGAAGCCCGATGATGTACAGGGTCCACAGACCCCCAGACCCCTTCCTTTATTTTGCTTATACTGTACCGCATGCAGTCGCACGGGCGGGTTGCAGACTTACACGGGGCCGTAATGGCACCGAAGACGTTAGGGAAAGGGGAAATAAAGACGTCAGTCACATGTCGTAACATTCTTTTAATATGAGCAATTTTTTTAAATATGTAGTTAAACAGAAATACACAACTGAATCCATATTTTCTTTTAACGACACAAACATTCATCAACAAGAACTATGACACGTAGTTCCTCTATGGCCCAGTTCCACCAAGAAAGAATATTTTAAGAGGTTTTTGGTACATTTCTTGGCACATAGGTGCAAGATCACCAGGATCATCTAGTATTCATTCTTTGTCGGCGGAACCGGCATTGCAGAACATACATTGCACCCATCTCACACTGACAATCTTTCAAGAATCATTCAAAGCCAGAATTCGGCTTGTATACACAATGAATATTTTTACACATTCATTACTTTAACGTTACAAAGCCGCATCACCGTTCGATCAACCCATTCTAGGCTTTCGAATCAACATGTTTTCGTAACTAATATCGCAAATTTGATAATTTTTGTACTTGTACATCTAATACATGTAGTGCACATTTTAAGAGAATGAAAAGTACTTGCCCGAGTAGAACTCTGCTACTATGTAACCAAACCCATGGCGAGTTAAGATCGAAGAGAGCGCTCTCCTAGTTTGGTACCTTTGCTCCACCTATCCTGACAAAACGTAGCAGCACTGGTTGGAATGGTTGGTCAGTCTACTGCTTATCTCTCTACAGTCAGAATATCTAGAATTCATGCGAAATTCAGATGGAAGCAGCGAAAGGACTATGTGGTGCAATCATTTATTTCTATGAACTTTGAATAACTTGCCCCTTTCATTCCATGGGAAAGCGGAGCGCATATTTATTAATTTTTGTATTTGGTATTTCAGAAACAAAGATGTCATTCCTAACATTTCCTCCCGACAATCAGCAGTCTCTCTTAATTTATTTTCAAAAATCGCCATATTTATAGTAGCAGTTAAAAAACAGATTTAAATTGGGGAGCAGTACGCCAAAGTTAAATAACTTTACATAATGAAAGACTAGAAACATTTGAGTAATATCCAATTGCGACCTATTATTCATACCCGCCAAACCCGACAACCAACATACCAACAATAACATAATCGTCGTCTAGACAGTTAATCAATCTCTTCAGAAGGCGCGGAGGGAGTTGAGTCACCTTTTTTAAAAAATGCGAGTCAATCTTTTCAGGCATTTGTGGTCCAGAGATTGACAACGCGATTCGTGCAGTGAATCCCTGCAAGAAAGCAGCGAGGTAGGATCCGTTGGGCACAATTTGAGTCGGGAGGAAATAATAAAAATTAAATTACTACACGTAGTTAAAGGTATATCACTGTTCATGAAACAGAACTGGGGCATTAGCCGTGACTAGAACAAGAGTTTTCTGAAAGCACCGCACCGCAACATAAATCCACAAAGCATGAATTGTGTCCAAAGGACCACCTCTGGAGTAGTGAAGTATATTCGTATAATCACGTACCAATAATCACAGTTATATACATTACAATGAGAAGACAAGTTAGCTGATCACTAGAGCTCTGTATGAACAGTGCTTAAATGCTATCCATGTTTTCTTAAATACTCAGTAAGTTATAGGTTAATAATTGTTATAAAATAATGTCCCCATCAACTCATACTCTCATTTCAATATTGACGATTACTCTTTAAACCACCAAATGAATCGATTCCAAATTTGAGCGGTCAAACCATTTAGTGTAAGAGTGGTTGCTATGGGAAAAATTAAATTATTCTCTAAAACTACCCTATCTAGTATTGAAATAATAAGAGATCTATATCATGACAGATCTGGGTTATTTTGTTCTTGGTTAACAGCCTTCTACCGTTCACTTCCTCTTAGATTGTACACTGTAAGATAGTGAGTGTTGTATAGAATTCTCGGTAAAGTTTTAATTGCATTTCCTCCTGTATCCATACTTCCAATTGTAAACCAAAACCAGAGCACACACTTCCAAGAAAATGAGGGAATGATATCGTAGTGTATTCCGATCTAGAAAAGCGTTAAGTACAGAAGGGAGAATAGGTATTAATGTCATGACTGGTGCAGAAAAGTAGCTCTTGGGGGGTCATATTCACACAACCGCCCACCCAGAAGTGGTTCTATTCTTCCTCCCGTTCTTTGCACTCCGATAAATTGAAATTCACCATGGACTATTAGGCTGATACATAAGAAAGGAAAAAAAAATGGTTTGCATCTTGTAACACGGCTAAAGTGACAGATATGTTCAGCTCGTTCAGGGAAAAAGATTGCATACAATGGAACCGGCTGAAGCTTCTATCCATCATTAACGTTTTGGCACGTAAGTTGAAAACGTGAAAAGAACACGAATGAACAATCTGAAGCATCGCCTCGAGGTCACGTCGGTGGATTTCGTGAGCAGAAAATGTTCACAGCCATGCTCATGTATTTGGTGGCATTACTTAACGACTAGTTTGGGCCGACCCGAGAGGAAGCTTAGTTATCACTGAGACGAAATGTGCAGCTTATGTAAAGGGCCAGCAGTGCAGTTGTCCTCATTGTACACTTTCAGCAATATTCTCAAAAGACATTTCAATAGTTTAGAAGGTCTCACTTCGAATCTGCCGACACGTTTTCTGACGATTCAATGGAAACCGGGAACTGCATCAATGACAACGTGATTGCAAGCGCCCGGAATCCACGTTATCAGTGTACAGGAATGATCAAATTGGAAACATGCACGCTTACCCAGAAAGACTCCTTTCTTAGCATAACAGCTGGCAGAAGAAAATAATAAAACTTAATGCAAATAATATAAACTGCCTGCCACAACCATCTGGGCTGAATTCCGACGTTTTAACTGACAAATGTACACAACCTTTGGTTATACGACAAAAAGGTGAGACAAGAAGAAAATAACGCCAACAAACTCTTAGTATATTTTTGGTATCTACAGAGAAAAGGGAGAAACAAGATAGCATCGTGAAGAATCAACGAAAGACCGAGGCAAAAATAAATAAATGGCGGAAGTTGACACAAATCGATAACGGTTTGGCACAAAGGGTGTTGTAGCGTCGGTCCTCCATTGCCCCCTTTCCAGTGGTTCTCGCAATGGTTTTCTTTCTCTCACACTCGCGGTGTACTTGCACACCACTCACATACGCACATCCAATTACACTCACTTACACACCATGCTGTACAGGTATTTACATAATAAAAACACTGGCCTTCCCGCAAGCCTAGTCATTCCAGGCTGCAAATGTTTGAAGCCCTGCCACATGGCCTTAGAGCGAGACAGTAGCAGATCTCGAGAGATCCTGCAGTCTTTGAGTGGCTCGAACACATTTAGTCAAGACGAAAAGCTAAACACATTTAGCAAATAGAAAGCACACTAGTGCTGAGGTGGAAATCCAATGCGCAAGACTGCCCAGTACGGCAATGCTACGTAACAGTATAACTCTTATATGTACATCATGGTCCGAACGTTTGATTCGACAGCGCTAGTCCAACCGACCAAGTGGGAAAGAGAGAAAGGACTACAACCTTAAACCTCCCTGACCCACAGTAGCCGACGCTGTCAAATTCACAATAAAATCTGCAGTCATCAAAAATAGTAGACGCTTTCCGCACCGGCAGAATCTGCTTCGTCAATACGCCTAGAGTCCAGTCACAGTGAAAAACATTTCTATAATACACTTTGGCGAAATCGGAGATAAGTTTTAGGATTGTGCTACCGCAAGGAGACACTGGCAACGTGGGTTTTTCTGTGAATATAGTTATTTTGAGCCAAGGACTCGGGGTACCTAGATAAATTAATGTGCAGATGGGAACTCTACTTTAAAATTAGATTGTAACGAGATACGTCAACATGTGCCGAAGCAGTTCAGAGGCACAATTATTTTAATACTTCCCAATATAAATAACAATGAATTTCGACGGCAATATCGCCAACGGTACATAAACGGAGAAAAAACGGTGGATCAAAGGGGTGCGGCTTGGACGTCACGTGGAACGGAAGATGGCGTGGTTGGGATGATTCTGTCGCAGTGGTTGTCATCTTCAGCACGTCTTTTATCCGAGCGTACACTGTTGATAAGTTTACAAGATTCGAGATGCAATGGGTTGCACACAGCTTCGATTGGTGCCAAGAAGGGAAGGGGGAGACCGTGGGGTGGGCGGGGGGCCTACTTGTGGCTGCGCGTGCTGCGGAGCGTGGCGGAGGGGAACTCCTCGTACACAACGCGGCCGCCATCGGACGACGTCGACGGTTTGCTCTTTCGTGGCAGCGTGGTCGCCTCGCCGAAGCCAACCATGTCGCGGGGCTTCCATACCGGCGAACCTGTGAACAGCGCAAGTCGCCATGGTAACGAAAGCTCTGGCAGGTGCGGCGGTCCACCCCGTCGCGCCCGCGTCCCCGGGTGTCAGGGCTGCGACACAGCAGTGTCGCGGGCGCGCCTTCCCTGCTGTCTCGCAGCCCAGACACGCGGCACGGCGGCGTACGGCACGTCACTCACCCAGGTCCTTGACGAGCGGCGGCTGGTAGTTCTCCGGGTGCTGCGAGGACTGGATGAGCCTCGCCTGAGAGCCCGTCGAGCCAGCCGACAGCGTGGACGTTGTGGAGAGCGTCAGATGGTTGGGGGTGCGGCCCAGCGTGCCGGCCTTGCCCATCACCTTGACGGCCGCCGGGCCGGGCCCCGCGGCCGCCGCAGCCAGCAGGCCCTGCGAGTCGTCCTCGCCCTCCGACTTGGTCCCCGGGTCGAACTCCCCCTTCGCCTTATCTCCGTGGTGCTCCTCTGCCGAAAGAATACAAGTCAAGTTGAGTGGACTCCTCAGGAGAGATTCTTTTCGACCTTCAGCTGGGAACACAACTCACCCTGGCCGTCGCTCACTGTTTTGCTGCGGCCCCTGAACGTTCCGGACTGCCCCGCGGCCTGAGGAGTACAGTCGGAGTCCACGTTGTCCAGGTCGATGTTGCCCGCTGAGTGCCTCTGCGCGTTCTTGCCGCCCTTCTTCGTCTTCCCCAGCGTCTGAGATCCCGCCAGGATCAGCGCGGCCCCGGAACCCGCCTTCGTTGTCACCGTCTTCGGCCCCACTGCTGCAAAACGAGCGCAAAGACGTGCGTCAGCCAAGGCTGTGCCCCGAGTGCGCGCTCAACCCCCTCCCCCTCGAGTGCGAGGCAGAGGCGTGGTTCGAAAACGCACTCGTTCCAAAGATTAAGTGACTGATTATTCCCGTCTTAAAGAGGCTTCGTTCGAATGAAGCTCAACTACCATTTACGAATACACTTCAAGCAAGATGTCTAGAAAAAAGAGAAACTTTGTCGCAAAACTCAATTCTAAAATGTTAGTGCAACAGTTAAATTCTTTTTGGCACTAAACTAAAGAGTAGCAAGCACACCTATGATTAAAGTTTTAGGGGTTCGAATGTTAGTAGTTAATTTAGGCTAACAGTGAAATTGTGAAAAAAACAATCGAAAGACAAAGATAAAGTGATTGAAGCGCCAAGGCCGGCCGAGGCCACCTATGTGGACCCAAGAGGCTATGGAGTACAGCAGCTTCCCTTCCAGAGGGAAGTGAGCCGGCGGCGCCCAGTGAGCGTGGTTGGGACGCCACCAGAGAGCGAAGAGAGAAAGAGACAGCCTATTCTATGCTTGTGGAAGCCAGAGGCCGATAGCTGGAGAGTACGAAGGGGATTTCTGCAGACAGGCAGCTTGTGATATTTTTTGTTATTATTTTTCAACGCTTTTGTCATTATAATATCATTAGCCATAAATGATCTATCTTTATCGTAACTTTTTTTGACATTCGCTTCGCAGCCGTTCATATACCATCATAAATTGTCATTGATCGCGTTTTGAACAGTTCGAGGCTGGCGTTTGCAGCGAACTTCCATAGAAAGAGAAAGAGACAGGGGAAAAGTGGCTTTAGTCAATGGCCGTTAGTGAGCGTCTCGGTCTGAACACCTGAGCCCTTCCCGAGGCCAAAGCCATATTCGGGTCAGAAAGCCATCCCCTTCATACGTACCCGGGTCAGCGCACATGAAAGAAAATGACGATTAGTGACAAAGTGAGTGCGATCAAGACAAGCAGGAAAATGACAAACAACACAGACACACGCGCAAACCGAGGAGCAAGTTAGGAAAAGAGATGTCAAAAGTTATTGCATTATTGACAATGAAGGTAAGGTGGATAAGGATCAAGGAGAAAACAAACGACTTGCTTTAGTTGCAGCCCAGAAAAAAATGCTACTAACATATTTATTCTTAAAAATCATCTATATAAGATTGGAGAGGATGGATTTTCGAGGAACATAAGGAGAGGTGCATGCGTGGGCGATGCTCTGCGTGGAGAAAACACAAGCTAATCACTCCGTTCATATCCTACGCGCACCACAAGCCCCCGCACACCCAAAAGCGTATTCCCAGACACCACAGACGGGAGACAGTGAGAGAGCCCAGACCAGCTGGGCGCAGCGCAGCGCCGCTCAGCCCGACGGGCACGGGGTAGGCCAGCCCGCCGCGCGCGGGGACGCACCGGGCGGCCTATCCCGCGCTGATCAGGCTGACGGGTCCGATGAGGGGCACAAAACAACGACACGCCCACAGCAATCGGTTATTGGGGGTTAGTGAAGCGCCACACGAAAGGGCTGAGTGCAGCCGACGGGTGTCTTGCCTGTGGTGCCGGGGCTGCTGGAGGGCGTGCGGCGGGCGCGGCGGTGGCCTGGAGAGCGCTGCTCAGCGCCGCCCTAAGGGCGCAAGTGACGGGCGCAGGGGGCGGTGCCGCAGCGCCAGTGGTGATCGCGGGTCTGACATGGACTCCGGTACTGACTCACCCAAGACGGTCCCCTTGTCATCGGCGGGGACGCTGTCCCCCGCAGAGCCGGGCTTGGTCGGCGGCAGGCTCATGTTGCGCACGCTCTCGCGGATGATCTGCCGTATCGTCTTCAGGAAGGCGTTGCGGAAGTCGGCCGTGCTGCGGGAACAGATAAGTATTAGGCCACAATTTTTCTGGTTTCTTTCTTGATTTTTTTCGTGATTTTTCCTGACCTTCCTGTTTTCTTTAGTGTATTGTGATTTTTATAGTGAAGAACTACCCCCGGCGTGCCCTCACCTGTTCGACAGGACGTACACCTTCTCCGAACGTCTCTGCACTTGGCTGCGCAGGTGGATCAGTTCCCACAGGAAGTGGGAGTCCATGTCCTTGGCCGAGCTGGCGCGCACCTGCACCTCAGTCACGGGGATCAGCACCTGGTAGCGGATGATCTCCACCTCGCTGGAGCTGCCTTTGCTCGACACACCCTGCGCAATACGATCAAGTTAAAGAAAAGATGCTGCAAAGATATTTTTAAAAGAAGGAGTCGGGTGCCAGGACAAACGTACCATCAGCTTCTTCTTCTGCCGCAAGCGCTCCTTGCACAAGAAGACGACGGCAGACTTGAAGACGAAGCACATGGCGTGCAGTTCTAGTCCCTTCTTAATCTTCCCCAGGAAGTCCGAGATGTTGAGCCACTCGACGCCCCCATAGTAGAGCAGGTCGCCAGGGCTGAGGTCGATGGGCTGCTTGCAGGACTTCTGGTGCTGACGGAACAGATGGTCGAAGATGGCGCCGTACTCTTCGTGGATGCGCTGCATCTCATTGATGTGCTCCGCCACCTTCTCCATGCCCTTGAGGGCCTCTGCAACAACACCGGTGTTCGTGTCAGTCGGATATTCCCACAACCTACAGTGTCGAGCACGTCTCCGCCGAGACTCACCGACGAGGTGCACGTGCTGCTCCGACTGGGGATCGGTGAGGTTTCTGAGCTGCTGCAGGAGCAGCGGGTACTTGAGGATGCGCTGGATGGGCTTGATCAGGTACGACTCGAGGGTGCTGCTGTGCTGTTTGCCAGGGTTGGCCCTCGCAAGGAACTCTCGCAGAGCCTGGTTGCCCTCATCTGGTGCAAGTGGAAAACATTACATTAATGTTTAGAAAACCTCTATTAGAACACATTGGCTGCTTTTGTTAACAAAAGGCTTGACCACAATGTCTCCAAGCGACAGCTAAAGCATTAATAAACAAAGGTAGTTTAATCGAGATACTCACTAGGATGTAAAACCTTTTGCGCCTTGCTGTGACTCGCGCAGAACGAACTGTATAGCTTAAAGTGGTTTACGTAGTATAAGAAGGCACTACCTACTGAGAACAGGACGTTCTAAAACAAACAGACACAGACGTGTTAAAACATTTCCTTTTTCCGGATAAAAGTTAACAGGAGGTGAAAAAATGGTTAATGGAGAAAATAAATATCCCACCTTAAATTGGCTAGGGTGGTCAAATTTGTGGAAATCAGGCTCCATGTCTAGGGCTTCGTCAAGGTTGTGCAAGAACTGGCGTTGGAAGGTGACTATTTCCTGAATATTTCCAAACAGGGCGTTGATTTCAGCTAAGGAGAGGAAGGTTTCTTTCTTCAGCGGCTCAAGGTAATTTTCCAGTAGGCTGTTGAGGTGCTGTAAACAGAAAAGATAGGTAAAAATCGAGTGCACAAACCAACAACTAGGTAGCGCTGAAGCCCTATACCAAGCGCTTGACCGAAAGCCCTCACCTTGACGTAGGTGCGCTCAGTGTCCACTAGTTCGAGCAGCACCTTACGTAGCTTCTCCGCGTCGGTAAGCTGCCTGCCTGGCGTGAGCATCGCCTGCGACTGCGAAGTAACACTGCCCGTCGGACTGCACTTGCGAGTCTCCACCGGCGATCGACAGAAACCCGTCACCTGCTCGGCCGTCTGCAAAGGGGCAAGGGGTAGTGTGACAGATAAGGAGTCCAAAGATATTCGGTGCTGGGGAAGAGGAGGATTCTCCTGCTTGCAAATTACTAAACAACACGCTCACCTTGAGCAAGTTCTCAATCTCGAACGAGTTGGCGCGGGAAGCCACCTTACCGCCCGACTCAACGCCTGGCGGCAGCGGGGACACATCGCCGTCCGGAGAGTACACCTCTTTGCCTGTGGAGCAGCATCAAGGTCGATTTTTTTTAACACTGCCCTCGAAGTTTTCACGTACCATAACGAAATAAAAATTTTCAAAACGATGAAAAAACAACTCACTCCAGCCGGGAGCGGGCACGATGAGGCCCGAGATCATCTCCTCGGAGATGACGGGCGGCTCGGACGGCGGCGGCGGACAGACGAGCGAGTCGATGATGTCGTCCGTGGCCCTCATGATGGTGGCCAGGTCCGGCGGCTCGGTGCGCGACGAGCGCATCATCATGCACAGCGACTGCTCCTCCTGCAGCACGCTCTCCAGGTACATCATGTCGAGGTCCGAGACGATGGCGCCGTTGATGACCATGATCTCGTCGCTCTTGATGATGCCGTTGTGCATGGCAACGCTCTTGTCCTCGACGCGCGACACGTAGCAGCACAGCTCGTCCTGCCGGTCCGCGTTCTCCATGAGCTCCGCCTCCACCGAGAAGCCCCACATCTGGTCCAGCGTCTTCCTCTGCAGCTCCACCTGGTACAGGATCTTGGCGCACACCTCCACCACCTCGTGGGTGTGCAGCTGAAAGATGAAAGGGAAGCGGGGAAGAAAGGGTTAGATGTCGCCGTCGAGCGCGTGGACATGAACCAGAAGCAAACACGACTACTCACGTAGGTCTCGATGGGGTCGGAGCGGTGCGGCACGAAGTAGTTGTGGTCCTCCATGTCGCGCCGCTTCTTGACGCGCACGAAGTGCTCCATGGGGTTGAGGTTCTTGCGGCCGCACGCGCTCGCCAGGAACTCCTCCACCGTCATGCCCTCGCGCAGGTAGACGTGCGCGCTCTGGCCCTCGGGCAGCGACACCTTGACGGTGCGCTCGCCCTCCTCGCGGGAGCCCACCTGCATGGAGCGGCGCGACGAGCCCGAGTTGGAGCGCGACAGCATGGGCGGGCGGCGCTTGGTGGCGCCGCGCCCAGCCAGCAGGTTGTTGAGCAGCGAGGGCGAGCGCGCGCAGATGAAGGCGTGGAACGAAGAGACCGTGAACACGCCCAGCTTGTTGAGGGTCGTCTTGGTGGCGCGGGAGACGTGCGTTA